TATATATATATATATATATATATATATATACACACACACAATAAAATAACATGGACATGTTTTCGTGAGATTCTCATACATTATAGAATTACACACCAATTGAAACTAATGTGGAGAAACAGCGTCAGTTTTAGACGAATGCGATTTGTTACACCATAGCGCCATCTTGTGGTCAATGTTAAAGTTAGCTTACTATAACAAGACATGATGCTTTCTCAGATCGTTTGACAACTTTGTTTTGACAGGAATGATGTGCCAAGCAAAGACCTCCTACATCGAGACGGAGATCTAATGGGGAGCCCGTTTTGAGCTGTGCATGACACTGGAGAAAGGGGCGTTTCGAGTCGACCTGAGACGCTTCCACAGCACGTATCTGGTGCCTCCTCCGCCGTGCAGCGCACAAGAGCAGCAAGTGGGATTGGAGCTCTAGGAAGCTCTGAAAGGCAGCGTTAACTGGAAATCTGGTGGGGACGACCAAGACCACATTGTGAAACCAACAGGAGCACGCACATTCACTATCCCCAACATCCAGGAGGAGCGAGTGTCAGAAGTCAACGAATGCGAATATCTCTAGCTGTTGTGAGTGCGATAAAGACGGCCTCCTTTCTCAGCAGTTCAGGTTCCGGAAGTATTGCTCCCATATATGTTCTCTTTAGGCATTTTCCAAAAATCTTAAGTAGCCTAAAGAATTTTGAATATAGAGACTGGATCAGTTATGTCATTTACTTTTTGAGGGTGCTTTCACACTAGCACCTTTGGTGCGCACCCGGGTTCGATTGACGTCAGAGTTCGGTACGTTTGGATGATGTGAACGCGGTCTTCCGAACACGGGTGCGTACCCGAGAACCGTACCCTAGTCCGCTTAAAAAGGGTGGTCTGGGGTACGGTTCAAGTGAACTCCGGTACGGTTCGCTGCTGATGTGAACGCAATCGTACCAAATCACGGAAGTGACATATTATTTGATAAAAATGTGTGTTTGTGTGTGTTTCACTCACTTTCTTGACGAGCTTGACTGACGCGCTGCAAGCAGAGAGCTGTATATCTAATTTCTGTTCACCTTCAGAGTACTTTAGAGCATTTGCAGTACATTCGTGTACTGAAGCTTTGGAAACAAAACCAATGGTTCAAAAACATAAATATAAAATTGAAGAGAGCCTTGCTGCGCATTTTGCCGTCTTCTCCTGCGCCATCGTTACTAAGCAACGAGGTAAACAGCTGCTGGCTTGATGACGCAAACGAACCGCGGTTCGGACCCAAATAATAAAATGTGAATACAGTCAAGCGGGGGCAGGGGGAGGGGGGAGCAATCGAACTCGGGTTCGGACCAAGCAATCGAACCAAGTGTGAAAGCACCAGAGTGCGATCAGTGCAGAAGTTTGTTTTCCCCTCCTCCCTCGCAGCTCGTGTTTTCTGTGCTAATGGCGTCTTTTGGAATAAGCAACATTTAGAATCGGAACAGATTTCAAAACATAACACATTTTAAAACTTTGTAAATGGATAAAGAGAAAAACGGAACGTCGTAAATTAAACGAAACCGTACACTAAAGATACACAAAACCTTGTTGTTAGGAGAGGCATGACAAACTGAAAACAATGTCAATCAGCTCAAAATATCGAAAATGTTTAATATCCTCTGACTATATGGAATCATAGTCTGAAACAAGTTGGAGTAGGAGCCTGTCATATGATAATAACGTGGAGGAACCACACACACACGTGTGTGTA